TTGCCTTGCAGCCTCTCATAACATAAATCTGCCCTAATTTCACACATATCTATGTAAATAAGAAAATAAACATCTGACTCATCGGGAAACAGACCTGTTAAAAAGCGTTCTGTCTCAATAAACGACTTGATATGCAAACCAAAGTAGTATGGATTACGAATTCGTCACATTTAAGAGGAAGCAGAACTGTGTTTCCATTATTACAAGTTTCTGTAAAATATTCTCAGGAAAATATCTCAAATGTGTCAAGTAATCTATGGAAAAACTGAAGAGTTCGAAAATTATTGGGTATTTCGGAGAATAAATATATATTTTTTTCCATTCCTTAAGTACCGTAAATCTCTATGTGTGCGTTGTAGTGGTCCACCGATATGCCGAGTTGATGCTACACAATATAGGCCTATCATATTTTTTATTATATTATCAACAACTGAACTTCGACAGACATGTAAATTGACAAGCACTGCAGAGAAATCTGGAGCTGGAAAAGTCGGATAAATAGACGGCTATAGATATCAAAGTAACTAGATAGATAGATGAATCGGCGCCTGGCAATATCAGGGGGCAGATGTACACACGAATATAGGGCGCAGAACACAGCATAGGCAGCAGGTATTGTTTCAACATTAAATGTATAGGCCTATGATATCTTAACACTTGCGGTTAACCACAAACTTTGGAATAAAAAAAAACGTGATTGAGTGGGTGTTTTCCATCCAACCCTTTTCTCCACAAGCTGCACATGTTTTGCATTAATTATTTTAAAACGTAAAAAAATCGGTTAGTAAGAGTAGCTCTGCATGCAATGGCCAGTAGACAAACGCCCCAGTGGCTGCAAGACGCTCAGCCAAAACTTTTGTCTATTGTTCTTTTGTCCTAAAGTACATCTTTTCTCCGCCGTCTACATGAAAGCATGCCGCTTGTGAAAATATAGGCAGAGATTAAGGAAAAAAACCTTTAAAGAGAGATAGATGGCGATGAAAGGACTGTAAAGGGCTAAGGTCGGCCGGTTCAAATCTCCAAGGCAGAGCCTGACATAGAATACGAAAAGCGTGAATTCTGGTGCAGATAAAGATAATTACCTCTAGAACAAAATCGAAGGATTAGGGCTTGAATCCTTTTTGAAGTGTGTGCGCCATTTACTTTCTCTATTTTAAAATCAACAATAGTATGTATCATTCTTTGTCAGGCTTTAAACATCCCGCAAAGAAACGTAGAATTAGGTTAAAGTGCCGACAATCAAAGCATACTTACACAATTTACTATGCTAAATCGTTGCCAATTACCCCTCCCGAATCACTTACAAAGCGGAAAAGTCGAAATTTAAATTCAATAGCCTTGTTTGGGGCAGCATCCAGACACTAATCAACGACTGGCTATTTGAAAATCCATAGAAATCAACCTATAATCCTATTTGCCTATTGGCATAATGAACGAGTTTCGACTGCCTTCGGTGTTATGTACATTGTACCAAGCATTGTTGAAATAATTAAATTAAGAGAATTACAATTACACACAATATTGGCCTACCATTAGATAAAAACGAAATACAATAACCCTAAGGTTTTGCTTTAAATATGACAATGCCAGCTACGAAATTATCTAATATGCCTATTGAAAATAGTTGACATGATGACGTGCGCGAAAAGGTAGATAGCGGATATATTTGCATTTGGTTAGTTTTTTCTTTATACCTCCATGGTTTTATATAGTGTGAAACGTCACCCAAGGATAACCTACTAAAGTCCGGAAACTTATTTTAAGTAGGAGTCTTTTTTTCTGGTGGTAAATTACATGCAGTAGGCCTATACTAAAAATAAACCCAAAAAACGTTGACGCTAGGCTCCAATATCCACCCTGTCAATGGCAGTGATGAACAAAATAGTAGAAATTGTTATGTTTGCAAGAGGGACAATTCCCTGGTTTTCAGAAAAGTGTGGCATAGTGCGTGCTTTAACGAGCATGGAAGACGATATATATATTTGCATTTCGGTCGCAGAGCAGCGAGCGATGGATTTGCTTTACAGTGCGAACGAAGACGTTAGTACAAATTTAAGCCTGGTTTGCATAAAATCGAAACACTTTCCCTTTAGCGTTTTACCTGCGATCGTCGCACTGCAGGAGCTGCCCCGACGAAATCGGGAAGATGCCCCGATCGACTGACTAATCAGCGTCGCCGAAAATTATTGGCGATAGCGTGTAGCGCTTTTATGGAAACTAAATTTCATTCGACTTAGATGATCATCAATTTTTGCTACACATCTATTTGATTACGCTTTCGCATGGACAAGATATGTTGTTGGAAAATTAAAAACATCCGTGTCCGTAATCACCACGATTAACGTCAAGTTGCCGACACAATGATAACGTCCGATCGGTACGCTCAAGTACTAGTGGTCATATAGTGGCCCTCGACTTCCTATCAGGGTATAGGCCTGCTAAGTACAAGCCAACCATGGACCTATTGATAGCGCCAACTGCGCACCAACGTACAGTATGCCTACAGTAGTGGTTCTCTAATGGCCTCCTTACCCGCACGCGCGTGCAGGACACACTGTCGTTGGATGCGATATAGACAGGCCTACAGTATATAAATGTCACGTGCTGCATAACAACCAATAGAAGGATAGCGTGCTCATTTCAGCAGACGAGCATAGTAAGATGAATTATTTAGGCAAATTCGCAAGAATCGCATTAATGGTCAAAGTGCAATCAAGGTAAGGGTTCATCACTAACGTGAACAAGGTGTTGATAAAATTCAAAATTGGAGTGATTCTCACACCGACATGTCCTATTATAGGCTATGCAGCAAACTACCGTACGTTGTATATTCCTAATTAGCAATACTGAAAAGGTGTGTGATAATATGACCAGAGTTTAGTAGGCCTACGCTTAAAACCCATCGTTAAATTTTTATTTAAAAAAAATCAGATTAAACGAAAAATACATAGCAATCAATAGCTATGTATAATAAAGGTTAAAAAAATGTTGATATATCTAGAAACGAAACTGTAGCGAATATCATGTTATTTTCATTTTGACTACAATCGTAGCATGCCTACTTTATTTAGGTCACTTAATGACTAAATCAGCACAGAGCCATGATGTGATACGAAGATGTAGATACACGTGATGAGCATAACCATTGATTACATATTATCAATAATGATCAGTCGAAAGGAAACACTGTATCAAACGATACGAATACGATACGACTCGTATCATACGACACTGTATTTATACAGTATTCGCTTGCAGTTGGCGCACATGGATAGTTACTACGCATGTGTTAAAAATTGATGACGTCAACGTGACGTTGCCCTTGTGGCAACGTACTTTCTGATCACCAGGGTTGTCACCTCTTAGGTAGGGGTTCCTAAGAAGTGCGGGGAATCAGTGACAGTTAGGTCGCGAACGGCGCCTAGGCTCTCGGCAGGACGACGGCCAACAACGTTCTTGTATTTTCACAGTTGTTCGAAAATTCCTCATCAACATCTTTCTGCCCAAATTCATTGACCCATAAAGGTTACATTCAGAGGTAACTGAAACGGTACTGGATTACGTTAATGTTCGATATAATTAGCAATAAAAACGATAGTTACTCCTTAACACCATCGGATGCTGTAAAATACACGAGATTAATTCGTACACGATAAGAGGTACATTGTAGGCAATCGTAATTGCGGCATCATTCAACTAACTTCGCAATTTTTCTTTTTTCGGTTTATAAATATTATTATCCCCTAATTTTGCTCTACAGTACAATGTCTTTAATCTGTGTTCATTTGGATTAGGCCCATATCATATCTGTTTACAGATTAGTAATGTCACAACTCCTAAATAAAGGTCTGTACAAACCTATTATACAACATACTGTATATGTGGGTGTATATTATATACACTCTCGTAGACTTCTCTTTATCGTTTACAATAAAAACTTGAGCTAATTAAACAGTGTTTTAGGATTTTGTGGCGTTTGCAAATACTGTTTTCTCCGGTAAGTTAAACAACTGCTCTGGTAGGCCTATCGTATGTATTTTTTTTTTATTGAAAAAAAAAATGTGATTCGATGGCTCCCGCGCAATCGCACACAAAGGACTAAGCACACCCGATTCGTTAAAGAACGCGTGAATCTTTACAATAAAATGGTACAGAGACGGAATAAACTATCAGGCGTAGGCCTGGCCTGATCTATTAAAAAGTCATGAAACTCCCTAGCGACGTTTGCATATCCATGTAACATGCGATCGACAAAATTAAATAGCCTATCATTACATTCCAATATCACTTCCATGTCCAAGTTATTGATATAAGATATTGATATATGGATCTGTGGTTTATATGCCCATCTTCTAATCCAAATGTCATGCGTTCAGTCTTGGAAAGGGGTTTTCTGACAACCAAAGCGAACCCGCGCTCCAAGAGCGTTAATTAATAGGTCGGTCTATTTTGCTTAAAATTAATTTATTATTATTATCCGTAAGCCAATTCCATTGGGAAGTGGCATGTAATTTTGCCCATTCGTAGTCTTATTCGTTAGCTACATTCGCAGCCAATAATTGGGTGGAATTCACGATGTTATGTTTTCAAAAGTGATAGAATGATGTGTGCGGGCTTGAAATCTACCATGACGTCAAATCGTGAGAATTGCCAAATTTCTAAGGTTGCTGAACATTATCTTACCTGGATCTGCAAAATTAAAATGATTATGCATCATTTCTGGGTTATTTTCTATGTCGTAGGGTCCGTTTATTCCCGGCCGTAGCCCACGGATTCCACGTCGTGGATTACGAAAATATGGGTGACGCCTGGCTCCTAATGCACTTAATTGTTTCATTCGTCGTTCCTTCGATCGACGGTTTTGGAACCATACCTGAAATGATAACAAAATGGTATACGGGTTATAATTGAATTGTATATAAATTAATGTAGCATAGCAGACTAAATAATGCAATGCGTTTTAAAGTGACATTAGTGTACGCATTGTGCATGTAATAATGGGCGTATCATACCTACAAGATTTGGCTAAAGCACATTCCAGCTGAAGAGTGGTTGTATGTGTCTCTAAAAAAAAAGCGCTTATGGCACCTCTAGATGGCCTTTTTTTTTAATTTTAGGGGTACGCGGGCCGGCTGCCCCCACCCTTTAACCCGCCCCTGAGAACAAATAGTCTAATCAGACTGACAGATCTACAGTACTTTCCCGGTCGACGAACTTCCGATTTACACAGTCAAAAAACAAAAACAAACAAAAAATTGGTCACCATTGAAAATTACACGCCCCAAAGTGATAGGTCCATGACTGTATATCTAATATACTAAATAGTACACAGGAGATGACTGTCAACGGGTCGTATTTGAAAATACATTTCCATCTGTCAAGTGACACTCTCGGGTGAAGGCTACGCCGAAAGCTCGCGCGTATTGGGCACTTGTTATCGGTGATTCTCCAGATGAGAGATGCAATAGCTTTTACCAAAAGGAAAACAATTAAATAATTGTACAACAGGCTGCCAATAGAACCAGGATTAAGTCCTACCGGGCAACTTAGAATAAAACTCAGTTGAGCCGCGAGTAAGAAATTAATGTAAGGAAGAACGTTTGTGAAGCAGCTGCAAATAAACATTTCTAGACGGAAATATAAATATTTCCAATCTGTATACAACACTGCGGCTCTTCTCATTGTTGCGACTTTTTATCCCTTAATACATTCCCAATGCCGGCAATCCCAAAAATAAAACGCCCACAACCACCATCGTATTACGTCACAACTGGGTACAAAATATCGGAAGAAACTGCTTATGGAGATACAAAATGAAAATATAAAAAAATTGAATAGTTTTTATGCGTTGGATTATGAGATAAAGAGATAAAGGACAGAGTAACAGACGGGTTCATTTATAAAATCACAAACAGCTGATTTCGTAACTTAAACGGAATTTTAAAACCTGTTTTGTTATCGAAGATGACTTATTTAGAAGACAATAATCTAGTCTAATAGTATAAAATCCATAGAGCTGACCACGTGAATCTTGTTGTGACTCGGCTAGTAGGCCTGCTGTTGTTGTCATGGCGACTTATAATATGATGTTTGCAAAACAATCGTCATTCAGTAACTGTAGGCCTACTAGTAAAGTCTGTGAAACACTACCAGTGCATTTTCGGTGAGACAGGTAAAAGCCTGATGCCTAACCCATGGTAATACTGGTAGGGCCTATAATATATGGTTAATACTGGTGTATATATATATATAGTGTATATACTGTCTCTTATACCCATCT